TCTTCTAACACACATCTGTTTGTTCTTTTGGCAGCCCATGGCATTTTCAATATTCTCTTCCAAGACCATAACTCAAAAGCATCAATTCTTCTACAGTCTTCCTTATTAACTGCCCAGCTTTCTCATGCATATGAGGTTATTGAAAATACCATGTCTTAGGATATATCTGACAATATTCTGGTGCTATTCATAATTCTTCAATATTTAATATTCTGCTACTATCTGACAGTTTTCCACTGCTATTCATAAAATTTTCTGTGGTTAAACATTCAGAAGTGATCTGCCTCTCCTTCTTCCTAGCCTGTCTTAGTCTGGAAGGTCAACTGAAACCTGTCCACCAGAGTGACCCTGATGATATTAAAAATACTGATGGCATGGCTTCCAGCAGCATAGTCACATGCAACCAACCCCCCACAGTACGACAAACTGACAGATGAGTGATGGGCGTGGTTTGAGACAGAGAGAATAGATAAGAATGATATCACAGTTTGACTTCAAATGAAGTAACAGTTTTGAAAGTCTTTCTTTTTAGTTCAGAGCCAAAAATATTTATTACTGTGACATGTAATTCTAGAAGTGAAAACTCTAATTTTAATTTTAACTTATTACCCATTCAGTTATAGTTGATGAAAATACGGTTTCATGGAAAAAAGGATTCATTTGCCTAGAACATTTTAAGTAAGCAGCATAGTTAAGATTCAGAAAATTACTTTGATATTGCTCTAATGCTGGAAATAATTTACTGCATTTTCCATAGTGCTGCAGTAAGATGGCAAAGCAAAGGCTAGTGACATTAATACTTTAATTCGATTTTGTTCTATACCATTAAAGTATCAACTGATCAATAGGACGAAGTTACATATATATGTTCCCACTAAATGAGCCTGATATTTAGTGAACAGATTCGCCATTAAAAATGGTGAGCCAATCAATCTTTCATTCCAGGTTTTATCTTTGACTGATAAAATGATTTAGCTGTTACTGTTTTTGTCATCATGTACTGTTGAGTCCATTCCGAATCACAGCAACCCTACAGGACAGAATCGAACTTCTCCATAGTTTTTCCACAGCTGAAATCTTTATGGAAGCAGATTGCCACATCTTTCTCCCATGGAGTAACTGGTGGGTCCAGTCCACCAACTTTTCATTTAGCAGATGAGCACTTAATTGTTGTATCACCCAAACTACTTGCTGTCAATACCAATCCATGTAATGGCTATGTTTTTTCTGTATAATATGAATAAAAACATCTTTGCCATTGAGTTCTTCAGCTTTGATAGTATGTTTTGCCAACTTCAATGGCATGAAAGAAGCGTAAAGGGGAAAATGGCTCCATCTTCAGTGGAACAGTCTTCATTGGAAAAGGCCTATTTGAGCTCCATTTGCAGGATGAACGAGCTCTGAGCATGCTGTCTGTGGTAAGCAGGGCATAGCCAGAGGAGACAGTAATCACAGACCCAGGCTGGCATGAGTCTTATAGATATAGCAAGTTCATAGTTGTGGCAGGTGTCGGGTGCAGAGAGAGATGTTGAGTCTAGAAAGTCAGACAGAAAATTAGTTGAGGAAAGCCTTGTGTGGCTTGTTAAGAAGTATAGCTTTTATTCCACAGGCAATGTTAAACCATCAAAAGTCTTCATGTAGATAAATGTGATGATTAGATCTGAGTTTTAGGAAGAGTTCTGAAAGCAGTTTAGAAGATGAAAGGTAGACTAAGGGTAGCGGGGAGGCTAGTTAGAAAGCCATTGGATCATCCAGCTAATGGTTACACTCAGGCACAGGATGCTGATAGAGGCTGGAACAGTCTGTTTATTGGGGTTAAATGAGAAAACTAGTCTCCTGTTGCCCATTCACTGCATGATGTGATCACCTGTGAGTGTTGGCCCTGGTAATAAAGTGTTGGGTTAGTCAGACACGTTTCTCTAGTATGGCAGAACCTGGATTTCGTGATTTCACACTAAGCACATTGTAATTACCCAGCAACTACTGCACATCCACCTGATCTGATAACTGTGGCTGGTGACTAAGAGCAATTGGTCTGTGCTGAGAATTAGGGTCCTAGAGTTAACCCAGGAGTGAACAAAGAGATCACCTTGTTTTACCATCCATCTCATATAAAGAAACTGGGGTCTGAAGCTATAAAGTGAATGTCAATGTTGCCCCAAACTAATAGGCTGTTTCAAAAAGTATGTTTAGAAATTGTTATTTGGAACATATTGTTTTCGAGAAACAAAAGGACCTTGCCTGATGTTTTGACCCTTTGCAGTTCTGGCTTTAGATCATAAGGCAAACGAAAGATCAGGGGAATTCAAAAGTGGCGGCTGTTTTAGCTGAAGTAACCCAAATGTTATAGAACAAGCAGAAATGGGCTTGAGTAGATCGGGTTTGATGGTGCTACACCAATTCCTTAAGAAAGTAGCCTCTTCTACAACCCCCAGAAGTGTAAGCAGAAGTAAAAAAGAGCATTAGGCTTGAATCAAGAGACCTAGATGCAAATCCTAGCTGTATGCTTCATTAACATGTAGGAAATATTAAATGGTTTTCTTATTTCTTCAGAGCAGATCCTCTTATTTCTGCAGGTGGAGTAGCATTTTGTAATTACCTAACACCTGATGGATCTATAGAGAACCAGCCAGCAGACTGTGGCTTTTGTCATCTGGTGATTGTCAGGATTGATTATACAGGTCTGCTGGCTGGGCCAGACCTCCTTCCTCCCTGCCTGCTTTAATGAGACCTTCCCAAAGTTGCATGTTCTGTCAGAGGATGGCCTTCTCTGCACTGCCACCCTTTCCCAAACATGTAAGGTCATGCTTTGTAGTCATGAGACACTGCTGTCTTTTAAGTTGAAGAAAAAAAACACATGGAGTGTTTTGCTCTAGGGAGTTTTTGTCATCTCCTTCTGTGGCTAATCCTGCCTTCTTACTTTTCTATAATACACCCTCTTCTCCTATCACACATACCCCCATAATTACATTCTACAATTAAAATCAACTAGATAGGTTATACAGTATGTTACAAGCTGATGTATGTAACAGCAAAAGAAAAGCTACAGGAGGGTGAGGGAGTAAAAGGTGCCAGGGTGGGGTGGGAATCATAACTACTTTCTTTCACCTCCCACTGAATCTTTCATCACCAAAGACAGGGCATAGTCACCATATTTAAGAGGCCAAAGAACTCAGCAATCGCATTCTGACATTAAACTCTTCCTACTTGGAAATTTTTCTACATTTTTTACCTAGCCGCAATTAAAGAACTTGCCTAATTTAAAAGATACCAACTTTGGATGACCCTCATTCCATAAAGCAGCTATAGAATTGATTGGGGTTTTAAGAGGAGTTTGACTTTACCGTCTGCCATGTCTTTGAGTATCAGAGTTAATTTGGCTTCTCTATTTGTCAGAGGTTATAAATTACTGAACCTACAACAGCTCTTGATATACTATTTGTAGAAAAGGGTAAGATACAAGAGTGCATATTGTCATGAACCTAGTTCTTTCAAATAAATATGTGATACACGTATGCTCCACATAACAAACACTGCAAAGAAATAGATGAAATTTTTGTATGTGTAAATGAGAACAAATGTTTGCATGTATGTTGTTGTTGTTCAATGCTGTTGAGTCAGTTCTGACTCATAGTGATCCTGTATAGGGTTTGTAAAGAGTGGCTTGTGGGTTTGAACTGTTGACTTTGTGGTTAGCAGCTCAGTGCTTATCCTCTAGCACAACACCAGGACTTTAGTATGTTGCATATATAGAAGTATCTATATGTACATGTCTGTACAGATTATGTGTGTACACATTAGAGGACCCGATGTACAGGTACTTCTCAGACATAACTGAACACCTTGTGAGAATGGTTTTCTGGGTTTGAAGGCTTAGGACCTCGGTCTCATGGAAAAGTTGTCAATTGGCATTACAAAGTTCAGTTTTTGCATCCCAGTGAGGTAAATAGTGTCTGGGGTCTTAAAAGCATGCAAGCAGCAATCTAAGATACAGTTATTGGTGTATTCTTTTTTTTTTTTTAATTGGTGTATTCTTATCATGAGCAAAAGAGAAAGAAGAAAACCAAAGTTTCAGGGAAGAAATTTGTTTACAAGACTAGTAACCTACAAAATCCACAGCCTCTGAGACCAGAAGAACTACTGACCATTCTGATCAGCGCCACAATAACTTACACACAACTAAAGGCTATGACTTATGAATGCAAGGAGCTCTGGTAGCTTAGTGGTTATGAGCCGGGCTACTAACCTCCCCAAGGTCAGCAGTTTGAAACTAGCAGCAGTTCCATGGGAGAAAAATGAGGCTACGGCCTCGGAAACCCTATGTAGAATCGCTACAAGTCGGAACCTACTCCATGGCACACCACCACCACCCATGAATGCACCCTCTATTAGAAAATATGTGAGGGCTCTCAATTAAAAAACACATATACTAAGACTAAATATCAACAATTACTCTAAAATGAGAGAAAAAAATAACCTCTAGGTTAGGGAACCTAGAGTACTGACAATGGAAAAAACACACCACTACTAGAATATAATTAAAATGAGTGTTGACACATTATGAGAAATGGAACTGAGCAATTTGTGTAGAAATGTCAAATGGAAACCTGATTTGCTGTGTAAATCAAAAACACAATTAAATTTTATTTTAAAAATTATTTGCATACAATTATCTTTGTTTGGAGAGGAGAGATTATAAATGATATCTTTCTTCTCTTTTATACTTTTGGATGAATAGTAACAAATAAGTACTACTTCTAATAATTGGTGGTTGGTGGTTATGTGCTGTGGAGTTGGTTCCAACTCATAGTGATCCTATATAGGGTTTCAGAGGCTATAAATCTTTACAAGAGCGGAAAACCTCATCTTTCTCCCATAGAGCAACTGGTAGATTCAAACTGCTGACCTAGCAGTTAGCAGCCCAACTCATAGCTCAGTACATTACACTACCTAAAATGAGCAAAGCAATCATGTGACCTCTTCCCTCTGGGTCTCCACAGCTCACCATCTGTTACCTGGACATGCTGATGACCAGTAAAGAGCGCCAGAAGCAGCTAAGGGACCAATACTGCTTTGAATGTGACTGTTTCCGATGCCAAACCCAGGACAAGGTATGTTCAATGAAACCGACATAGAACAACACCTAACAGGCAATATCTCAATTAGCTCTCAGGGAACTCTGCTTTAATTATATTAATCCAAAAGTAGATGGCCATCTGTTCCTGGTAGGAAATAAAAGTAAGTAAACTAATGCATAGAGCTACATGTATTTCCTTTCATGGGAATATAGGCACTAAATATGTAACTAAGAGGATGCTGAAGGTCAGAGTACTACTTGACAAGAGGGTCAAATTATATACTACAAGGGTGGGTCAATATCTGACTGTAGAATTTATTGTAATCAACTTTCAGAAAAGATAAATACATCATTTTCAACATAATCTCTTTGCTTTCCAATACACTTGTCCGTCTGTCATCAAGCTTTCATATTCCCTTATTAAAAAATGTTTGAGGCTCAACTGTGAGCCACAAATGCACTGCTTTCTTCACTTCTTTTATCAGAGGTCAATATTCATCCTCAAAGGGCTGCTTTCTGGGAACCAAACAGGTAAAAGTCCAGTAGAGCAAGATCAGAACTATAGGGAGGATGCTTTAACGCCTCAAAACAAAGTTTTTGTAGAGTCTCAACTGTGAGCAGAAGTGTGCAGACGTGCATTGTCATGTAAGATCACAAAGTCCTTGGGTAGCAGTCCTCTGTATTTCATCTGAAGTTTAGTTCTTCAGTGGGCATCTCATTGTAAGGAATACTGTTGATTGTTGAACCTTTTTCCTGATAGTTGTTGTTAGGTACCATCGGCAGCCCTATGCACAACAGAACAAAACACTGCCCAGTCCTGGGCCAACCTCACAGTTGCTGCCACGCTTGAGCCCATTGATGCGGTCACTTGGCCAATCCATCTCGCTGGGGGTCTTTCTCTTTTTCTCTGACCTTACCAAACATGATATCCTTCTTCTGACAATATGTCTGAAGTATGAGAGACAAAGTTTGGCCATCCTGACCTCCAAGGAGCACTCTGGCTGCACTTCTTCCAACACA